TTTGGAATCCAGTATAGGTATGGTAATTCAAATTCATTTTGATTGTTGGGAATATTAAAAATATTCATAACTGACAAATGGTTTTGAAGAATTTCATCCATAGAAAGGGAGCTATTCATATAATTTGGATTACCACTTGCAGAATTAAATCCTAGTTCCTCTAAAATACAATTCAAATAATGAGCCTTACAAACAAAGACAATGATGTTACCTGCTTTGAGCTGGGACCAGTACATACTGATAGTGAGAGGGTATTTATAGGCATTGTATGCCTGTTGCCCAATCTATTCAGTATTCTGAATAAATATTGTTTAAAATCATTTAAAAATTTGAGATTTTAATCTATCGTTTGTTCAGAAAGTTTACGTTTAAAAATCTAAAATTCAGTATCACTTCATGTCTTTTGATATTTTAAAATTAACCTCAAACTTCTATAAATTTTAACTTTCAAAAACTCCGAATACCTATACTCAATTTAATTTAATCTTAAAGAAGGGACTAAGAACATACAAATTAATTACCGCTTTGCACCTAAAGAAGATGGGCGTGTTTGGCGTGTGATCTGCAGGAATAAGGCGTACGAAACATTTATAGTTTAAATGTCTACGATTTGGTCGGCTGACCACAGCTGGACGCACTTTACAAAGTTACGCACATGGGAAAATGTTACATTTAGTTTGAAATACTGTGTCGAATTTAATATATCAGTCCGCTTATTTTAATAATTACTACATGTAAGACTTAGTAACGCTTCACATAAGTAATAAACACCTATGGGGTATTGTTAAATGCAATTACATGTATATATATTAAAGTTTCAGTAGGTTGGAAAAATTGCTTTGAAATTCGCTTTCGGTGCAACAGAACCAGAATTTATCTATTTGAAAATAAATCAGTACATAAAATTAAACTGACAGAAAAAATGATTGTTTGTACAAAAAAAAAAATATTAACGCTCCATGCGAGGATCGAACCAAATATATTAACTTTTCATTGCACTGGACGGGTTACGCATACTACTGAGCTATCACCGCTCCACACACTTTAAGTTTTTTTTTAAAGCGACAATGAAGCACCGCAATTACACGTTGGAATTTTTTTTGGAAAAAGTTCATTTTTTATTGTCTCTGGGTCTTCTCTCCATTTTTTACAAATGTTTGTTCCTTTCTTTGAATTAAAATTCACACATATAAGGTTTCAAAATCATGGAGAGATGGCCCAGAGGTAGCAAATTTTTAGAAAAACGTGTTTGAAAATGTAACATTTTGTTCCAAATGACTCATCTGGCCAATTTTCAAGTTATTTTTTAGCAAATCAAAATACAATATCGGGAAAATATTTCCATTTCCTATTTCACAGGAACCCAATACAGCAAAAGAATGCTAAAATTTTATGTGACAGATCAATGAAATTTTCACTTTTCAAGTGCGCCCAGATTCCTGCCGAATGCCAATCAAAAGCACCCTCGTTCTTTACGAGAGTGTATTGCTTTTTCTGCAGGTAAAAATGATACTAATGATGTGTTTAGCTATTTTAAAACACTTATGTGTTTAGAGTTCATGTTTTTAGATATGTTTAATTTCTAAGCATTTCTAAGTTTAAGTTAAAATCACTTTCTCATACATGTTTAGAAATTTTACAAGTTTAGGAGTTTTATATATATATATATATATATATATATATATATATATATATATATATATATATATATATATATATATATATATATATATATATATATATATATATATATATATAAAGGAGGTGACAACAAAGTGTAAAGAAAAGTGTTTAGATTCTAAACACATATTTACAGTGTACCATATATCCTTCCGTTTCCACTAAATCAGAGGTGATAAATTTTTTTTTAAAAACTATATGAACAATATGTAATGGTTCCAGCAGATAAGGCTTGTAACAACAGCGTCTTTGTAAGGCTCATTATTACAACTGTATTAAGAAGAACATTATTTTAAGGACATACGCAACGCAGTTTGAACTTTATTGTCTTTTTCCCTGGAATTGAAGAGTTTCAATACTTAAAGGAACTGTGTGCTACATTTTATTGTCTATATATGCTGTTGCGCACTTCTTCTAGAACAAGTTTGGATAAACAAAACATCTATCATATATATTTAGTATTTTTTTAAATTTTTGTAAATTTTTCTTTGAATTATACAAGAATTTTCATCATTTGATACCTTTTTCAAAACCCCTGGTAGTGCATGCTGATTTTTTGTCTACGAACATCTGATGGCACTATAATCTTAAATTAAGAATATCTTGAAAAATTATCAATAAGTAAGGTACGTTGCGTATGTCCTTAATTCTACGTCTGGAACAGGCCCGTAGAACGCGCGCGCGGGGGGGGGGGGGGGCACTTAAATTTCTGAGTATAGTATTTTGCTATAATAAATTTTCCTTTAGATGGTGGTTGCCCCCCCCCTTTTTTTTGATGTTGTAAGATTGAACACTGGCAAATTACAGGATTTGGTCAGTAAATTAGTACTTTTTTTTTGCTTGTCAGATTTTTTTTTGGGGAAGTTGCCCCCTCCCCCGCACCACCACCACTTTTAAAACCGTTGCTACGGGTCTGTGGAAATCCAACTTTAATTATACTCACAGTTCACTTTCTTGAGATGTCGACTTGCTATATATATCCTCGTTAATTCGTTAGCAAAATTAACTTATATTTGGGTCGTATTTTGGCTGACGTTTCTCATACTAATTGTAAGGTCTTTGTTTTTATAAATAACCTGGGTCATTCTAATGGAAAATAACAGGTCGTGTGTTCGAATCATGGCCGCGACTGACCTAAGTCGATAAAAAATAGGTAGCAGCTCTGTTCTTTCGCCAAGCTCTCGGCACTTTGAAGTGAAAGTTGCTGGACCTTCGGATGAGACTTTAAAAACCGAGGCCCCGTGTCACGGTAGGCGTTGGCACAATAAAGAATCCTCACTGCTCAATGGCCCTGAGTGCCGAGTAAAGGTCTAAATTTGAAACCCTTCACCGGTATATGGTGACGTTTCTATATGAGTGAAAAATTCTCGAATGGGACGTAAAACAACATACAATCAATCGATCTATAGTAAAGTATAGATAAGTATAGTACTTTTTGTAAGAAATGCATTATCACCTGCATATAGAGTTTATATTTCCCAGTTGATTTGATACACAATAGCATGTTCTACGTACGAACAACTTCTAAAACGAGGCAAGCTATAGCCAAAATAAGTTGATGATACAAGGATATCAACAGTCTCTTTTAAAGCCAACATTTCGCAAATTCTATGGTCGATACAATACATTGCTATTGTTAAGTCGAATGTTGACTGACTTTTTCCATAAAAAGTGTTAGGCCATTTTTTTCACACTGAATTGTCTTCTGATCACTCCGTTTGCTCGATCATGACAAGGAGTACACAGTGAGCGTGGCCGGTCGACAAGGGATGTTTAATCCTGCCTGGCACCTGATTCCACCTCTGATGTTTTTAGAGATCCATGTTTGCTCTACAAGAAAAAAAAAACAAGCTAACAAAACCCAATAAAACATATCCAAATACGACTTAGCCATCAATATATTAAAATGATATCAGTGGAAACTGCTTTAATAACTAGCTTACACAATTGGGAGATGGTAAAGATAAACAAGTTCACTTCCTCTTGTATGAGCATAGGAAGGGAAGTCTATTCAGTTTTTGACTTAAAAATCTATTAAATAATGGTTTTCCCCCTAATAATGTCTATTCAGTTTCGTCTTCAGCTAGCCTTTAATTAAGCTTTGAAAATATCAAGCCCGATAAAAGGTTTAGCACACAAGAAAATACGTAGAGTTTCTGCATTAGCGGAGCAAACTGAATATAACTGACTTTAAAGTAAATATTCTGTCAATTTCTCTGCAATTAAACCATAAGTGTCTTGAATTTTTCGTGTTAAGTGATATTTTAGTTGAAAACTCTAATCAGTCACAAATTTAATTTTACATGTAGGCTTATTTCTTTAAGAAATTAGATATGCTTCAAAATAGATTTCCTTTCATAACCTTTAGAGATGCTATAATAAATTAGAGCTACAAGTAATATGTTATCGTATATAACATTTACCGAATTTTTTGGACATGAACTTAACATTGCTTTTTTGAGAGAAACCGAAGTACTTCCATCATCTAAAATCCATCCTGTTCTTAAAGCAAATTGTTTATATACCTGTTTCACGTAAAGGTTTACAAAAATATATATGTTCTGTGCCTTTTTGTAACACATACCACAGTGGTTCAGTTCACTTCATGCAGTTTTATGTCTGGTCTGGCCCACAAAACCATTGAACCAGTTTTCCTTTGCATCTAACTAATTTTGATCTAATTTCCAAGCGAAAGTTCACTTTGATCTTGAGTCTCTTTTTTTCATAAAATATTCCTCCAAAATTTCAATTTTGCTTACTGCCAAACTTAAGGCTTGTAAACAATGCGGAGTCGTATACATGCTAAGCGCATGCATTGGATAGCACAGACTCTTCGCCTGACTGACTGCCAAACTTAAGGCTTGTAAACAATGCGGAGTCGTATACATGCTAAGCGCATGCATTGGATAGCACAGACTCTTCGCCTGACTGATTGGAGTTCGTCCATTCTATAAAGAGTGTTGATTTCAAGTTTTAACTGGTATTACCATTTATACATTATACATTGTGATAATGGAATTTTCATACCAAAATACATGAATACTAAATGCATGGCCCATCTCAAGTTCAAAATGTTCGAAGATCAATAAAACACGAGTTATTTATCTGAAGGTTTTTGCCCCAGTCTGACATGAATCGATCTGCTCGAATATCAGGTCGCGAAAATCATTCAGATTGATATAAACAATGATGATTGTAATTATACCTGATTTCTTCATATTTAGCCAGCATCTGATGGTAACAAGATTTTACTGTTCTTGGTTTACCACTACATGTACCTCTTCATAGTACATAATCTTTTCTAGTTAACAAAAATACGCATTTCTACCGACAATTTTAATTCAGCTATTCAATGTATAACGACCATTTTTTGTACCTAATAAATGAATGGTCCGATATTTTTAATCATGGAAGCATTCTGAAGGTGTTCTTAAATAAAAATACTCCACCAAAGGAATTTACAAAATTTTGATTGTTATTAAATACATTTCACCTTGAATTTTACATTGAAATCTATGGGCAGCGCAGGTTTTATCAAGATATTGTAAAAAGTAATTTGAATTCCATACAGATTTCTTGGTGAAAATATGCATAAACTCTCTCTTTATTAAAATATGAAATAAAATAAATCATTTACCACAGATATTTTGACAAAATTAAAATTTTCTTTTTTTCGTCAAGGGCAGATAACTCTTCAGAAACTTTTAATGTGCAAAATGACCAGCTTTTCTCATGTTATCAGTCATATGAATTTGGTTCATTTCCCTTTCATCGTTATCTAGCAATGCATTTTTAACTAGTTTAAAATAATTAAAAATTGTTCAGAATCCATTCATTATACATCGAATACCTTAAGGGATATATATTTACAACGAAAGGCATATACCAGAATTTTGTACTAAAAATCGAAAATTCATGAAAATCATCTTACAAATCAGGTTTCTACAGAACAGTACAAAATATCAGGTTTCTATACAACAGTTCGAATTATCAGGTTTCTACAGAACAGAACAAAAAAATCAGGTTCAAATGCCTTTCATAAGCCTCCTACTCGAAATATTATTCTGTGAAATAAAATTTATCCCAATCATACAAAATATTCTTTATTCTACTTGACTCCTACCGGACTAAACTAGTAAATAAGAAATAAAAAGGATCAATAACAACTGCATGAAAACACATTCTTTGCATTCAACAAAATCACAATTGACATCAAAACTAAGGTCAAATGCATATCAAAGCTATCATTCAGCAACATATTCTATTTTCGACTTCAGATACAAAGGGTTTCCTCCCTGAACATATTCTGTCTCAAGAATAAAATTCATGTATTTTCATGGTATGACAAGTAGTGATAAACTCTGAGAGTGTCCGAAGAGTCCTGAACAACCCATAAATTATTATCATTATCAACGCTAACGTCTCGGGGAGCCTTTATGTCCAGCGTTTTGATGAAGGAGATGAATTGTCCGTTTTTGTCGATGACGTGAATTGTCGGTTCATACTGATCACACACAATGATGTGTCCCATGACATCAGTACACAGCCCCAAAGGCGAGATTCTTCTCGCAAACAATCTCCATGCTGAGGGCTGTCCATAGTATGAGAAACGATGGACTCCTGTCTTATCTACCACCACTACAGCGCCGTATTTATCCGATACACAGATGTCTCCATTGACATTCTCAGCAATATAATGCGGAGAGCTGTAGAGAGGCTTTTCAAAATTATCAAACTGGATGCCCTGAGTTGTCTTCCCATCTTCATTGATCCGCACAATTTTCGACTCCTTTGACATTTTCAATCCAACCAGTATATCATTGGTAAGTCTTGAGGCGCAGATGGCATCTGGTCTCCAGGGCTTTGTTTCAACGAAGAGATGTACCTCAGCGTGTTTCAGATTCATCACACGATTGTTTTTAGAATCTGTGTAAAAGACTTCTCCACAATTTGCAATTGCCAATTGTTGAACATGATCGACTTCAATGCTATCCTTTGCCCCCCATTGTCTGTCAAGCCGTACAAGCATGCTTTCTGATTTTTTCATCCAAACGTTGTTTTCAAATACATCTATGCTGTCGCAATTCTTTAAACCATGAATATAGAAAGTAGCTTCAGATCTTACTGGAGATATCTTTAAGATATTTTCCTTACTCGAATCCTGCACACTTTTGTCAACCTCCCGAAATCTGCCTGTGTGTCGAGAACTTGAGACAGTACTTAGTAATTTGGAGACATCTTCGTAAAAAATCAGTCTCTCATTTACAAAAGGGGATGAGAATAGAGGAAGGACTGGCATGTCTTTAATCTTTTCTGATTGGATCTTGCTATGGTACTCAAGAAGACCAGCGAATTCTTTTGAGTACAGTTTTTTCTCGTACTCACTTGAAATTCCTTTGAGGTATGTAATGAAACAAGATAATTCACGTTTTTGCGAGTTCAGTGTTTCCATAAACCATTCCTCGCTGGAATTAAACTCCTCTATCCTTTTCTTTAGTGCAATGTCTAAAAGTTGTTTGATGAGCTCCACCTCAGCTTTTACTTTTTCTTTAAACGCAGAGGTTCGGGCTTCAGAATTCTTTATATCGGTGTCAATGCCCTCACACAATGACATGCATTTTGCTAAAAGATTCTCTCTGATGTGTTTTAAATTTTCAAAGCTTTCTACTCGTGTTCTTTCATAAACAGAGTGAGAATCTTCGAAGGTATGACCTCTGTGTTTGACATCTGTGACACATCTTATGCAAACGGGTACCTTGCACTCTTCACAATAAGCGTTGTAATTATGAAATGGATGAAACTGACAGGTCTCTGCCATATAATCAATCTTTGAGTATTCTCCATATGGTACAATTATATGCTTCTCCGTTCTTTGATCATGTTCATGTTCCTTCTTGCATTTCTCGCAAAGAGGTAACCCACATGACTTGCAGCAAAACTCGGCATTGCTCTTGCAATTCAAACACTCGACAAAGTGTTGGGCAAAAGAAATATCTGATGTCGATTTATCTTTATGACTGACCTTGCAATTCTGACAAATGAGATGATTACATGTTTCACATTTATAGTCTGTATTCGCTTTGCAAATAAAGCATTTTAAACTCTCTTTGGTTTTATGTTCACTTAAATGTTCAACGTGTTGGTCTTTGGCTTTACAATTATTACATATTTGCATTCGGCATGTTTTGCAGGAAAAATTTGCCGTGCTTTTGCATCTACAACATTCAGTGTTAAGTTGAGTATTTTTCGTGTCCGATCTCTCCCTGCCCTCTTTCGTTTTGCATTTTTTACACAGTGAAAGAAGACATGTTTCACAACAAGATTCCGTTTTGACATGGCATGCAGAGCATTGAGAGTCAGTGTCTAAGAGGAGAAATGAGAGCTGTTATTATTAACTCATGTAACTTACATGTACTATATGTATTTGATTTATTAAGATTCTACATGATGTTTCTAATGTTAACTCAAAAGCAGAGTCGTGGTTTCATTAAAGACAACTTGACAAGAACAATTTTATATTGCATGATATAAAATATTTTATCAAGTATACATGTATTTTGATATAAGATATATCATGTTATTCCATACTGTTGCTTCTTAGTTGTTTATTCACGTCTGCATACTTACTAAGATAGTTTACACTACGTTGTAACTGGTCTACTGTTAGAGCAAATTCCGCAACAGGTTTAGACACTATCATCTTTAGGGTACCTCTTGAGGAATTAAGAATTCTACTGGCCTCATCTTTTGTAATATTCCTGACATCTGTGTCATTAACCTGTAAACAGATCTTATATACTTTACTTATTTTTTTAAATTTATTTATTAATTATACAGACAGACTTTGTAATTAGAATTGATAAAGTCTGTTATTTTGAGAAAAAAAATCCATTTTTGACGATTGATGCACTGGAGTACAGATATGGTTAAAGTTCGTTAAAAAAGCTTTCAACTAATTTTAACAGACGTTTACAACCAGATACATACATTGTAAAAGCATGTTGGTAAGGAAAAATGCTAAGATCATTTATAATTGGATGGACTTGAATGACCAAAGGTGATACCATTTTGACGAAAAGGCGAATCTTGATTTTGCTGACAAACACACTATTGATGCATGAGACATGTTTTCAATTCCCTCCCAGAACGGTGTTCTTTTCACACTCATACAGTGTTTTGATTCTGTAGAAAACTAAAGTTGTCGACGTTTCCAAATTCCAAAAACTATTTTAATATCCGTCTTCCTAAGAGTTTCTAGGTTTTCAATTTTGCAAATTTCAGAATCTCATTTTTCTTTTCGGAAATAGACAAAAAGGGCCATATCGGTAATTAGTTGATGTTACAATGTCTATCAGTTGATGTAACAAAGACTTTTTGTTGACATTACAAGGATTTAAACCTCCCCGTTTAAAGTCTTCTTTTCGCAAATTCTACGGTCGTTATAGTGACCTTGTTTGTAAATACAACGTATTTTGTCAGACATGTTTCATATCATTTGTTAGGTCATTATTTTTATACTAAATTTGACTACGGAAAACTCCGTCTACCTGATCAAAACATAGGGCTCACGGCGGGTGTGACCGGCCAACAGGGGATGCTTATTCCTTCTAGGCACCTGATCCCACATCTGGTTTTTCCAGGAGTCCGTGTTTTTACCCCGTACACGATTCTTGTTGTCTAATGTATTTCTGAGATTAATCATTGTTCTCTATTACATTTTCAACAGTGAAATACTGTGATTTATTTATTGAATAAAAGTGATATTCTCTCACAGTGTGAAAGGATACCAAAGTGATATTCTCTCACAGTCTGAAAGGATATCAAAGTAAGTAAAAAAATAATTTCTGGCCTGTCATAAGGTAGAGATAGTAACGAACCCGTCTTGATAGATACTAAAACTGTCAATTATGTTGATAAAATCCATGTTACAATGTTTTCAATCACAACTGCTAAGCTATGACGTCTCAACGGCTCAACTCTGACGTAACATCCTATGAGACTGTGTTAAGAAAAGACATCTAGGCAAAGGGAAAATCAAAGAAAATGTAATGAACAGAAAATTCAATGTTTTTTGTAGTTGGATATGGAATTTATTTCACTCGTGAGACAGGATTTTTTTTTATATTTTCACTCGTGCTTCGCACTCGTAAAAATATAAAAAATCCTGCCCCACTCGTGAAATAAATTCCATATCCAACTACAAAACATGCATTAAATATTTTCTATTTATCTTGACCTTTACATTTAAAATATCCATGAATTCAACAATATTAAAAACTGAATGCTGTTCATACTGTCAACAGTATGATTACAGTGATTAGCAAATGTGTTGTGTTCATACTGTTCTCCCTACGATTTGGGATATGGCTACATTTCCAGTTGTAGCAGTAGTTTTAGGGAGACATGTGTATTGCAAGAGAATATGTCCTCCTACCCCTTTCTCCTTTATCTCAAACTTCCCACTCCAAGTCTTTTCCTACTCCTTTCTCCCCGTCTCCTCTTCTGCCTCCTTCTTACCCTACCAACCCAATCATGATGTACATTGTACGTAGTTTTACCTTAATGATCCTATCTCCTACGGCCAATCTTCCATCCTCTTCAGCTGTGCCTCCCTTCAGGATCCGTGTGATAAATATTCCATTGTCTCCTGGGATGTGCTGATCTTCTGACCCTCCTGCTACTTCTATCCCTAAATCTACGGAAGATAATTTAAGTATTTCAAAGTATTTACATTCCATAGTAATTTTTCTTATAAAGTATGTTGAAAGCTTTGACATTCAAAACACCATTTAACAGACGGGGTGTTAAAAAGTTAATGATTTTTATTTTGACGTCACAAACGTTGAAGCAATGTAAGTGCAACGTCATATGTCAGTAATATAATTTTTAAATAAAATGGAGCTCGTAAATTTACAAACCTTGTAACCGTAATCTGCAAACTAATTTTGTTATAAAAAACAGTTTGATTCTACGCACAAGTACTCTGATGTGGATGTTAAAAAGATATTTGAGTTTCTGATTGATAATATAGACGTAGTTTTTGGAGACCGGGTCTTCCAATTATCTTTTGAAATTTTACATTCGTTCTAATTTGTCCCGTTATTAGCAGACATGTTTTAATATTCATATGAACCAAAATTCATTCAGAAAAAAGACGGTTTTTGCTGTGGCCTTCAATTCGACATTTAGATGCATAGACGAAATTTTATTGATTGACAATATCCATTTTCACTCCTAAGTTGATTTGATATATCCATTTGAACTCGAAATAAAAGATACCACAGAGTCTCACACATTTGTTTCATATTTGAATATTATAGTAGAGAAAGCCCATGGAGGGTGTGGCCGGTCGACAGAGAATGCTTAGTACGTAATACTTAAATCAGCCTTTTTTTTTTAAATCAATCTTCCATAAAATCAATAAATGTATATATAAACATTGAATTACAAAAATTTTGTCATGACACGAATGGCTGTGCAGAAAAAAACTTTCATGTCGCGTTAACACCCGTTATTCAATTATCAGTACAGCTGTCTGTGTTATGACACGTACGATGAACGTCTAAAATTTAGAATTCAATACATATATATATTTCTTTTTTTTTTTTTTGTTCATTTTCAAAGGATCAATTTTGATGAGAGAGAGGGAGAGGCAAAATGAATAAGTACATGTAATATACAATTGTACCTTTGTTTTCTATGGTTATGTCAAAGGATGTTGTAGTTTCTCCATATAACCGCTGATATAGCTGTGGAGAAATAAGAACGTTTTTTTATTCACCATTGTTCTATTAATACTTGTAAATGCAAACGAGAACAAATGACTTTAAAAGGTATGACTATTTAAATGAGGAAGAGTAAAACTTGTGAAAAATTGTTGCTTTCTTTGGTTTCCATGGAGATAGTAACCAACTTGAATTACAACTTGAATAAAAAATGAAAAATAGTAAACAAAGATTGAAATTATATGCCTATGAAAAAGCATACACAATAAAGAGCGCAAAAAGAATCATTTACTCAAACATACTATAACACAATTTTTCGATAAGAGTGGGTCTTCGCTCCTTTTTTTTTTTTTTTTTTTGAAAGTTTACCCTCAAAGTTTGCGTTAAAATCTACATTATTTGCTTAACAAACGTGGTGCAAAGACCCACTATACATGTACTTTAAAAATACACTTTTATGACACAACATTCGCATCTTTCCAAGAAAAACTTGAAGTCCATATAGTCAAATATCATATCACAAACATGATTTAAGGTGGTACACAATAGATAGGCCAAATTTTTCTGCAAATTCAATTTTTTTGAAACTTTAAAATTTTGTTCTAAGATACGAAATTCAACCTCACGTTTTTTGCCAACATAGTTTGAAATATGGCCTATCGGAGCCCTGTAAGAAGATAGTGAAATCAAACATTAGACCTGAGTTTGTGCATTATTTAAAAATTACCAATCGATCTATTGCAAATTTGTGTGATGCTTTTTATAAATAATTACAACCTTTCTGTTTATAAATCTTCCAGTAAATTATATTAATACCAGTACATGTATATATGAGTAGAATGTGATGAAAAAATGGAGCATACATAGCCCAGGAATTGAAAATTCACATATAAGTATGCTACACCTTAAGTTCTCTTAAGAGAAAATGTATAATTCAATTTTTACAAAAATTAACAGAATGATTGAAATAGAACCTAGATCAAACTGTGTCAAAATGAGGAAAACTGAACCAACAGTTTCACATATTATGGCGATTTAAAAAAAAATAAATGCAAAAAATTAAAAACAATCACTAGATGACGTCACAGTATTTGACCACTGACCTCTTAATATGACCTTGACCTTTATTGTGTATAAAGGATGGAGACTCCTTAAAAATATGTTCAAATATTTGGTCTCTAATGATATATATTGGATCAAAAGTTACTTTACATTTTATAACAGACTGTCATATCGCATGTAGATGACATAAACACATCCTAAAATGTAGGCTCCCGAATGACCAATGTATAGGATGTCTCTTTTTATTTTTTTTATTTATTTTTTTTTTTTTTTACAAAAATGGCAAAAACATATCACAGCTTATTATTTTTCTTACAAAGATCATTGGTTATTGATATCATACATTGTAGTGATATTATTCTTTTTTCTAGTGTACTTAATAAGAAATGAGTTAAACCAGATTTCAGGGGGTTTTGTACTACCTTAAATGCCACTATTTATCAGGAGTTGTGTACCGTAATGGTTAGCGTTTTAGTCTCAAAAGAAAATGTACCACATTATTTTTTTAATGACAGAATAATTTTTGCCGAGGAAATTTTCTTCATAAAAGTTTTGTTTATCAAAATTTCATAAAATTTAACAATGAGAACTTTAAATACTAAATTCACAAACTGAATATAATTTTTATATACATTGATCTAAAGCTATAGGCATTCTGCACGCCTTGTTCATTCCATCTCCTTTGCATTTACCTCTTATCAGTAAATTCAAAATTAATAACGTTTTAAAACAAAATTCCTTACAAGGACTATAAGTTTTGTTGTTCTTTAACAGGATATAATTAATTTCTATTGCATTGAAAGGTGCTTGTCATTGTAGTTAGGGCAGTAAAGTACAATATCAATTAGTGTATGTTAATGCAGATGAAGTAAATCCTTGAAGAAACATACAAATGTATACATTAGTATTGTTTGTTTATGGTCATGCAGACAAGAGCATTGGAAACATAATACACATCAAGTCAACAACATAAAGAATAATCCGTGTAGACAAAGTATTACAGTTCGAAACAAATGGAGGATCTCCTTTACAGTAATATTCTGATGAGGACGTTAAGTTACCGTTGGTCACTGCTCTACTGTATCTATAAATTCAAAATCCTCTTACCTGCTCTACGTAGACAGAATGGAACTCTCTATCCTCCGCCATTTTGTAATTTGCTGCAGTTTAAATATGACCTTGTAATGATTTTCACAATACATAATACCTTTTGTGTGGTACAGCTAAGTGCAGTAGCTCTTAATATTGCGGTGCAGAAAACGTAACTCTACATACTTTTTTAAAATGTTCATTGTTTAAAAATCGAAGGATCAAGCAGTCAAAGAATATTGATCATGTTCTGTTGTCTACATAAAATCAAGAGCATAAAGGTGGCTTACATTGCGTTGTTGCAAAGCGGTTGCAATTTGGTTTGTTTGCCACGATTTTGAACGAGGAGTAAGGATTTTGTCCCGAATTTCTCTTTGATTTAGGTCACTGATCATCCATCCACAGTAATGCCTTCAAACATAAAAAGGGACAGGCTTCGTTAAACACCGTCGTTAATGTTGTTAAGCTTCCCTCCTACTATGCAGTACACCCTTTTTAGAACTTCTAGAAAAAATTTAAGAAAAACAAAGATCAGTAACATCAAAACGTACGACCTTTTTTTACACTTTATACAACCATTACTCATAGTAAATTTAAAAAAAAAAAGACGTCTCTGGTGAGACTGTAGCTCTACTGGTCTGTACATATAACAAAGAAAGAGTAGCACTTGGATTTGAAACTTTGCAACATGCAGCAATAAATAGAATTATGTATCTTAATGTAGTCTACTTGTGTGCCAAGTTATATTGAAATCAAACAAAAACTGAAGGAGGAGTAGCGTTTTATAGGAATTTCACAGAAATTTCTATTTTTAGTAACCATGGCAACTCCGTTCATCAAAAGAAAAAAAACTGATGCACTGAATTAAGTATCTTAATGTAGTCTACTTGTATGCCAAATCATATTGAAATCAGGCCATAATTGCGGGAGGAGTAGCGTTTTAAAGGGATTTCACAGAAATTTCTATTTCTAGTAACCATGGCAGCAACGTTCATCAAAATCAAAAACTGATATCCTAAATTATGTATCTTAATGTAGTCTACTTGTATGCCAAATCATATTGAAATTAGACCAACACTGTGGGAGGAGTAGCGTTTTAAAGGAATTTCACAGAAATTTCTATTTTTATTTATCATGGCAACACCGCTCATCGAAATCAAAAACCGATGCACTAAATCATGTATCTTAGTGTAGTCTACTTGTGTGCTTAGTTAAAGTGAAATCATACTAAAACTGTAGGAGGAGTAGCGTTTAACAGAAATTTCACATATATCTATTTTTAGTTACCATGGCGATACCGCTCATCGAAATCAAAAACCAATGCACTAAATTATGCATCTTAGTGTAGTCTACTTGTGTGCCAAGTTTTACTGAAATCAGACCAAAACTGTAGGAGGAGTAGCATTTTGAAAAAATGTTTACAGAAGACGGACAGCTAGACAAACAGACGGACGGACGGACGACGGACACATTTCTATCGCATAACCTCTTCTGGTCTCTGACCAGTAGAGCTAACTAGGCTTTCTGATATCATAGAAAATTTCTTCTTCAATAAAATGGAACTACCTATACATACGTATATACTGTAATTTTTTATTTCTTGTAATTGGTCGTCGAAGGCCTAAAATTGGTATGAAACACGTCAGCCAAAATACGACCAAATAATAGGTTATATTTGCTTACAAGGTCATTATAACGACCATAAATTAACAAAATGCTGACTTTAAATGAGGTTGAAATACCTGTAACAACAACTCAATGCATATGTCACAGTTTAAAAATTGTTCGTACTCAGAGCATGCTTTTGAGTATCGAATAAAATGGGAGACATAAACATCATATGCTGGTCATTGCGGAATATT